GCTCTCGAAATAGCTCTTTGAGAGGGGTTGACTGCATAACAAGTCGTTTCATAAAATGCCTCACTTTTGACCATTCCCTCCAGAGGAGAAGGCTATGCAAATTTTGTTTCTTCTGAAGAGACCCTCTAGAGGGTATCACGAAATTCATTCTATTTCGGTGGTCGTTGGCTTGTTCGCTGAGCTGGACAATTTGCTTGCAAACGTTTCATCACCACTCGAGGTGACATTATCAGTGCCTTATTATGGAGCGTAGTAGTGCGTAGCCAACGACCACCATCTACGCTACCTGAGCTACCAACATCATTCTATTTCATTATTTTGTCTCTTTTGGGTGGGATATAAACATTGCAAGAATCTTTGACAAAACAGCTACACTCAGACTCATTTCAGGGACAGGCTATACAAATGAAAAATGTGGTATTCATTCACCGCACAGATGGCAACCATGGTATGGGACTCGGGAGGGGAAATTTTATCTTCACGCTGTTTGTCAGATAGCCAATTAGCGTCAGAATATATGAAAGTGCCGTGCTCCAGTTTTCCCCTGTCCTTAGTGGGATGTGATCTTATTTCAAGGGGGATTTATGATGATTTTCGACAGGTGCTATTCAGAAAAAAATCATGACACGGATAAAGTGGCCCTCGTTCAGAGTGGTCTTTATTGAAGGGAGCTCTTTGGGTTATGTAAGACACTGTTCCACTGTAAATAAAATTCCAGTGTTCTTCGTACTTTATGGTCCGCAAGTAACCCTGTGGAAAGAAAGCCATTTTGACACCTCCTGAGGGCGGAAGTTCCTTTACGAGTTACTGTGCGGAATTGAAGATCAGCGTACTAGATGTAACTAAACTGCCCAGTCCAGCGAGCCAACCAAGGACCATTTACCCTATCTGAGCTGCCAATATTCTCCGCAATAGCAAAAAAAGTGGGAAATTGCTTCAGAAGTAATATTTTGAACGTAATCTGAGGTGGTCCCTTCCAGAGTTGCCTTTTGATTTGGTATTCAGATTTGATATTCAGACCAACATAAGATATCCAACTGGCTCGTCAAACGGTTTGAATGCACTGTGGAGCTGGGCTACATCTTTGGTTGTTTATCCCTTTTTATCACGCCTTCTTAGGCACCCTAATAGCAATTTTCATTCACTTTTAAGCCAATCTTAGCACGAGCGTTATCGTAATCCAAAATTGATATCACTAGTGCAGAAAAGCCGCGATGTCATAAAAAATCACCCTGAAATAGGTTCTACTCCGAAATCATCTGTGTGAGAGATAAGTGGTTCCAAGTTCGCATCACCGACGGTTTGTATCAAGAGCTTTGCTCTTCTCCCCAGAAAAGTGCCCTGGGCGGCCTTGAACTGCACGGTGGTGAGAACAAGGATCAGCTGGAATCTACGTCGACACACTTTCTTTTCACTTGGCAGCGAGACGTCGCTCATGAAAACCAGTACACAGTGTGTAAATAGTCCATTAGAACCAATTATAGTGTTAGCAACGATACCCGAATCGACGAATCAAAGGAGCAGGATTCTGTCAGCCACAATGTGAGTGATATATCGGCACACTTATGATGTGCCCGTATTGTGCTGCATGTAAGCTCGAACTTTTCAGCTAATTTAATCAGTTTTTAACTAGTTTTTAGGCTAAGTGATTGCTGAAATGTCTTTCAAACTCATCCAACTCTTTAGTTCATTGAGATTTACTGTATTTCCCCTAGATTATGGCAACAGTGGGCTCTCTTCGAGGAAGACGGGGGCTTCCGTGGAAATGCGCTGATGGTGCGCACTGCGGGCTATCTTTCTTGGCTGGTTTCTTCGAAGGAGTCTCCTCTGGGAGCTTTTTTGTATTAGACCTTGGCGAACGGACTGAACTCAAGCCATCCTTCAGCAAAACGAAACCGTGTGCTCTTTTCCCCGTCGGCAGAAACACCGCTCCGTTGACTACAACAGACGAAGTGGGCATAATTGAACTGAACCAATTGGCTTTTCATCTACTGACAATAACTACTTTTTATCTCTGTTTCATGAATGATTAGGGGTGAGATAGGGCCCAGTAACTTGGTATTGTAAGCATGCATGAGTCAGAGAAATAGTAGCAAGAACAGGCATTCATCTTCCTTTTGGAGAGCTTAAAATCTGTAATAATTTACCTTGGCTATACACTACTCAGAAGGTTGCTGAAAACGACGCGACAACCCGTCGCGGGCCTCTCACTTGTTAGGGATCGTGAAAATGAGTATAGTCCGGAATTTTCTTATTTCCTAACTAAACACCCAATCTGACGTAGGCGGATTTATACGTCCATGTGATAAATTAGCCCGATTTCAACCTGTTCTCATAGTAGACAAAGTGCTCAGCTGATTTCGGTCGGCTACGTCGTTTACAGTTAATGAAGTTGCACATGAGTGTTTTCCACAAATACACATCGGCTTCCAAGGACACAGTCAGCATCACCATCGACGGCACAAAATTGATGGGGACTAGACTTACCCGATGAGCCCAAAAAAGAACGAAACTGGTAGTGTATTATCCAGAGGTTTCACCGATTTCAGAAGTAGTGTACAAGGACATGAGCTTTTTGCGGAAATTTCGGCTGAAGATTAATGTAAACTAGGTGTTTTACCGCCAATCGATTGAGCCTTCCGCTAAAGCCAGGTTGATTTTGTAAATGAGTGTACAATTCCCATTGTATTGATTTATCATTACTCTGACACTGAAGGTCTTCACCGATTCACTTGATGTAATAAAACCGACTGTGGATATTCATTCCACTAAGGCGACAAATACCAACGGAACCTGTGCACCAGTGTAGGAGTATATATGTTCCAGATGATCACCAGATTCACATCAGCATACTACGTTCTTAGCACTCCCGCAGTTGAACACACCAGTCTTTCGTTGTTCGGAGCTTTCATTGTCGAATTAGGTTGTGTTACTGCTTGCCCGTTCTCCTCATCAATGGAATCGTTTAATGGATGCTCGTTAGCTAGAAGCTTTCGTAGCACTGATTTGGACCACTGATGCTTAAATCTTCTTCGACAAACCTTCTTTGTCCGTTGACGCCATGTTATAAACGGTTTGCGGTTGGTAAAACTAACCTGAAGGGAACGTTTTCTTGGGAAGTGCTGATGTGTGTTGATGTTAGCTATAGCTGACGCATTATAGGGCATTTGTTAGTATAACTATGTCCACATACAGTTCAACAGGTAAATAATAATAATAATAATAATAATAATAATAATAATAATAATAATAATAATAATGAAGAGTTGGTATTTCAAATACTGACTGTGGACTAGGTGCCAGGTCAGTTGAGTTTAAAGTTTTGTACAACTTTCAGTTGATCACTCGAAGGAAGGTTGCCAGCTGATTCATAGCGCGACCAAGTCGACTGCAATCAGACTGTAACCCTCCCTCCCCTCTATTCGGCTAAACAGGACTGACAGTCAACCAGCGGTCGTGAATTCAACCCCATAGATTGTCTACTACCTTTATTTCCGTCGTTGCTTTTCTGTTCACCTCCAGAATCTTGGTATGGATGCAAGTTTCCTAACACTTCTGTTTGTCGAAACGTATGTCCAACATCCACTCCGTTGAAGGATGCAACCATCATCTGTCACTCCAACGGTGTCATCTTGTGTAACAACTTTTTCGGAGTGCTCGAGCTCAAAGTTCCCTTCAAAGTCAACAGTTCTAACTGCTAATGATATCGAAAGGAATAGTTACATTGTAACTGTTTTCATTGTCGCGTTATTATGTATATGCATCCTTAAACTCTTTGACCTGTGGATACAAGGGCACGAAAGACCGATTGCTCGTACTATGTCTGGACTAAATTCAAGGCAACTCATGGATGTCATTATGGCAGTGAAAACCGAAGTAGTACCACTAGTACTCCAAAGACTCTTCTGTTTAGTGCACATGCTGTCCAGCCAGTGGAGATGAAAAAAAAAACAAAATAAAGCAATAAATTTCCTACATATTCTTCTTTGGGAACATTTGAATTGATGCTAGATGATGTGAACTTGAAAAAATCATGGGGTTCTGCAAGCAAGATTTGTGTCTACTTTCTACGTGCCTTCTCAGTCGCGAAATAACCACGTTTTACAAAATTCCTGATTTTTCATGTTCCAGCGGACTGCAGTCTGTTCAGCTTCTAGTCAAGCATGACACAGATTTAAATTATATTTCTGACAAGGACTCATCAAGATTCATTCAAGACGGAATTCCTTGGGGGATTCGGGGTTCACTTGGCGCGTTTTCATACATTTCAAATTTCAGTACTAGTTTTTGTGTGGTTATTTTCACTGCAATTTTTTCCGAAAAATAATCTTGAGACAGATTGCATGGCCAAACGTTGAGATTAGTCGGGTCAGACTGTATTTAAACCACATTCTTTGGTTCATTTCAGTGTGAAAAAGTCAGTGCTATTAGTTGTATGGTTCCGCGCGAAATGAGCCTCACCGATTGTCTTGTAACGATACCAGTGGTTACGCTGTACTCAAGGAACCCTCAGAACCAGTCTTGGATCTTAAACCCCTATTGGTCCGAGAGTTGAGGAGTTGCTTCATATGAGCACACATAGGGCTTGTCTGGAAAAAGACGATAGCACATTGTCTGTTCTGGTTAACGAAACCCACAACACTGTTTCGGTTTCAATGGTTGTTCAAAGGCCCATTGTTGTGAGTCCATTGATCATCTTGTATCTCATAGTTAGGTACTTTAACTACGAGGCTGGATGAAACTTAAGCGAAGTCGTCAGGATATATACTAGTGCATCTCATCTGTTAAAAAGTGGAAACGATGTCTGACGCACTCGGATTAGATTTAACCGAAACTGCACATACGTGTACAGAATAAGCGGTCTTCAAAATTGCAGTTGATATTTTATTTATAGACGTAACACACTACTCGTAAGGTTGCTGAAAACACTTCTCAAGCGACCTTATGACTAATGTGTTACATCTATACAATGTACTGTGATATTCCGAATATCGTACCGTATGAAACTTGAGCGGCTTGGTGCAGCACATTCAGTTGAAGAACATCACAAACGAGAGATCCAGCTGGGATTCAGGTGAGTCTATCGAGGAAACCAAAGTGGTATGCAAATGAGTGAATATGCCGTTCGTTTAGTACGTTGGCCCTGAAACAGCTGAGTACCCTTTCCCCAGGGTATAAGATAGCTTCTTACAATGAGTACTAATCCACTGAATCTTCTTCATTGTCGGTTACTATCTCCTTGGTATATGATCTCCACTAAAAGGATGATGCACACATCAGTTCGTTTGAACCATCCGCATTCCATGATATTGCATACAGAGTTATTCTTCGACAACAGCGGGAATTCAAATGACTTGAATTGCCAGTTCAAACAAACAGTTTATACTTCAAAAATTCTTACACCAACTCTTGAAATCCAGTGGTAGCTCTGAATATTTTGCTGGATTGTGTGACTCGTTTACAGCAATCTGTCACTCAAAAAAATAACACAGGAAAACTTTAGGTCTCAGCGTTATTGCAGGCTGAGGGAAAGTGAAATCATTCTACAAAGGATTTTATTAGGAATCATTAAGTTTTGGGGGTTATTTTTAAAAAAATTTCCATACGACCTTGTTATCAAAACTGTCACGCTAATTACGGACCTACTGAACCCAACAACAGAGAGCAAACACTTACACGAAGTCGAAAGCCTCTTCAAGTGTGACATTTTACATACTACTTCCTATTCCAACTGGCAAACGATTTTTCAAGTGAGCTTTGGTTGCTAAAATGTTGGTACAGTGTTATATTTTGATGACAAAGTGTGAAACAAAGTGTGTGTGTTACTGGATGATGCACTCTTTCTGTTTGTCAGGCGACTACTTGATTTCGAGGCTTAGTTGTGTGAACTGAGCTGAGAGAGCTGAGCCGAAGTGCAGTACATACTTTCGACTATATATGCGTATTTACAGGCCAAAACTAACTCCAAGGGCTTTAAGTGTGACATTTGTTTCATCTGGACCTTCTGTGAGCTAAGTCACATTTGTTTTCTTCTCGGGGTCCAAGCTACAAGGTGCCGTCCTGAGTTTCTGAAACGTTGTATTTTAGATATCTACAGCATGATGAATTCAGCCTACTTGCGGTCATTTGGTGAGTTTTGGGGCAACGACCATATGGACAGGGGTAGTCCTGACTATGCTCAGCTCAGCTAGTATCCAGAGGGTTGCAGGCAATAGAACTTGTAACAAGATGAGCCACTTATTTGAATGAATGGCATTTTGAATGAGAATAAACGATTCGTTTATACAGGACATTACAAAGGAGGCGTGATTAATTAAATCCCAGAATTATAGTATCTTGTACTTGTTGAACAATGGGGATCAGTAATGCGAAATGACGGGTATAGTATGCGACAATAAACACTATCCAAGTGGGGAAATGTTTAGTAAAATGTGGTCCAGATCATCTGAATCAAACCTGAAGAGCATCGCACAGCATCGTACCTTCCAATTTACAGACGTTTCCTCTCAAACAAAAAACGAAATAAGGCCACTTTCCAGGACTCGAAACCGTGTAGCAGAATACCATGGTTTTTGGACGTGCGCCACAAGCGACGATCACGTATTGAAGTTTACCATGGATGGACCTGACCTGAAAACCCGCGAAACGTAACAGTTCTTGAACAACGACAAAAGTTTTAAAAGTATAAGGTATGCACCTGGTTAGGTGGGAACTAAACAAAATTGTCTTGCATATGTGTGCAATGTCATGTCAACCAGGCTGAAGATAATGATAGTATCTCCTGTTGGATATTTGAAAGTTAGGCCCCAAACTTCTGGTAAAATGGACACCTCGCCCTATGTGACTTTTGGGTCCCTCTGGTGAATGAATTGCCTAACTGCTGTAAAGCAGTTGCAAAAGCAGTCTGTTTACAGACTCAAATTGACGGTGGATTCCCGCAGGATGTTACGCTGTTCATCTTCGTGATCGAAACAGTGCTTGGGAGGTTGGCGGTAAGAGGGAACTTATTCCATCAGCAAGTTTTAGTGCACACGGAAAGGGACTAAGTAAGCGTATTATCTCACGCTTACTTTGTTAGTCTTCGTTGTGCGTTCCCAGTGTATTGACAGCACTGCTTTGTCTAACCATCTGCTCCGGTTTTATTGTCATACATTGCCTGTCATCCGAACAGATCCGTCGGACTGCTTGTGGCAGCTTGAACAGCTGTCAGCTGTCACGGCGTATAAATCGAAAGACTGGTTTGGTCATCTAACTAGACGATGCACGTGTTGATGGGCCAATTGCGACAGACGAATAATCTCTTCCAGTCCATCCGTCATTCTGAATACCGTTCAGAAGAGTTGAGCATTTTGCGTGCATCGTGACTGTCGATCTTTTGTTGTCTTCATATTTACTGCAGGTATATTGCCGTTCATGCAGGTTTGCCACGATGTTTGCTAATCCTGCAAGATATCACAAACGAAATACACCTGGGACGGTACGTTTGTATCTTTTATTTCGGCAAATCGAATCAGCTAAACAACATTCTCTATTACTATTCGACTTGCTTAGGCCCTTGTTTTGTTTTGAAGAAAATTAGATCAGGATTGGAGGTTTGGTACTCTCTTTAGTGTGTGATTGATAAATAACTCAACTATTAACTAACCCATTCGATTCTACTAGTCCCTGAAACCTGAGGCGCAAACAAACAATATTAGGCAGTTTTTTCACCTCTGACGACAAATTCAGTGGCTATGTTTTGACATTCACATCAGGTCCGGTATGAGGAAGTGGAGAAAGAACCTCATCGGGGGCTAAATGCAACACATCTGCAAGTTTCCCCTCAACTCATTCGCCAGGAGGACAGTTACCTGCCTGTGGTTAACGACAGAAGTCTGGATACGGATTAACAACTGAAATAAGCATCTTATAGGAAATTTTTTAGTGAGTGCCTTCAACTGCATCGTCTGACGGTTAATCCATGAGTGTCGCATTCCAAATGACCGGTCACCTGGTTAATGAGACATAAGCATGAACCGAAGATGTTGTTGGCTGCCAAGTCGGAGACACCGACCATGTCTTTGTTGTTCCGTCCGTTTACAACAACCTATCAGATTGGGAGGTGCTGACAACCGGACGCCTGCCAGACGTCTGTCGGTTGTCAAGCTGCTGTGCGTGATCGTTTTGGTGAATGTGCGTAAGAACGAAGTCAGGTCAGCAATGTGTGTAAATAGGTAAGACTACAAGTGGAACACGTTCAGTCACTAATAGCCGATCCCCGTTGGCATGGCAACTTTCTCCAGGCTCCTAAGGCCTGCTTAGCGCATACTGGGTAGGGAGGCCGTAGAAGTTGTTCAGTAGGTACGACAGTTATTCTAGATGGGAAAAATACAAGCGTACAGACAGACACCTACTCATCCAGGCGCGTGCAGTCACTCGGGAACAATGGGTCGGCAGGTTCACATGTCCTATTGTCGTGGTATCGGATAAAGAAGTGACAACCTCCAGAATGATTGTCATCTTGTCACGGGACGTGTATGTGTGTTTGGTACGGTTAATCGATCAGAATCAGGCTGGATGAATTGTTGTCTGATGTGACACGTTCGAACCGGATTACCTAGAGAGAGAATGGTCGGTTGGTTTTACATTTGGGACGACTCAATCTGTTGTAACCTAACGAAGGCCATGGTGCAGGCGTTTTGAACACGTCCCAACCGGCATACTGGTGAAGTACTCACAACTTTTTGTTATGGGAACTCAGGCGGCCAGCACTCGTAAGTGCGGCGACGAAAGGGGCATCACGTACGAATCCGTGGTATACATGATCATGGTGGAAGATGTCACGAAAATGGGGCAACGTGATGATCTTTGGAATTCTGACCAACCATTTTTTCATCGTGCAGAATTCGTTTTAATACCACACCAAACACCAAATTCCAGACGGTCAATTATTTGTCAACAAGTAGTGGATGGGATGAATAACTTAACAACACATGTTGCAAATGTGGTTTGCGCCGGAATTACCAAGCGTTAGTATGGCCCACTACGTACGCACGATGGCAAATGGAGAACGGAAGTGAGTACGTCAGATTCATATCCAGTGCTCATCCATTACTTGGTGCGTCAAGCGTCATGGTTTATGCTGTGTGCCTGTTCTAAATGGCAGTGCGCTATTGTATGTCACGACACCAACTCATTTTACTTTTGCATTGGGTGAAACGAGCTAAATGGGCAATGGAGCTGTGCTCCCAAGGCTGTGTCCAAAATGTGAGCCATCCGTATCCCTATGTAACTGACCCCATTCCGAACCGATGCCAAATCTCGCTCTCACCTCACTACGTTGGTAACAGAAGTTTGAGTGAATGAGTCCAGTAAGAAGGCAAGAGAGATGGGGGATGTTCACTCCTCCCTTGTCCACTAAATTTGGTTGAGGTAAGCGATGAACCCTGGTGGTTATGTCCATCGTATGACTGTTCCGATTACTGGACCCTTTAAATCTGGGTTCAAAACGGATGGATGTATTGTAACACTTGTCTCTTTGGAACATACCGTGTGTCCAGATGATAAAAGCAATGTATCGAATTTAGGAGTAGGTCGGTGAATAAAATTGAGCATCTCCGCTTGACTTATATGACCGGACATCAGTAAAAGGGATCTGAAACTTCACTGCGCAATAAAGCATACTAAGAGACAGCCCTATGCTTTTGACGCCACTGGAGTTACTGTATCTATGTCCGTCCAGTACTGAAGTAGAGCAAGACAGTGTTCATCTGTAGGCACGTGGCCGGCGAAATCGCACGGATAGTATGGTATAGTATAGCATAGTATAGTATAGTATAGTATAGTATGGTGCACTGTAGTGTGATATGTTACAGCACAGCATATTGTAGTGCAGTGCAGCATATGAAACGGGCCGGGCACCGATAGTATAGTATAGTATAGTATAGTATAGTATAGTATAGTATAGTATAGTATAGTATAGTATAGTATAGTATAGTATAGTATAGTATAGTATAGTATAGTATAGTATAGTATAGTATAGTATAGTATAGTATAGTATAGTATAGTATAGTATAGTATAGTATAGTATAGTAT